CTTATAATAGTATCAAAAACATTATATTACTTGGGAATAAATTTAACTTTTAGACTTTATATGATGAAATTATGGCTGAAAACTTCCCTAACCTAAAGAAGGAAACAGATATCCAGGTAAAGGAATCACAGAGAATCCCAAACAAGATGATCCCAAAGAGACCCACATTAAGAATTATCATAATTAAAATAGCAAGAGTTAAAGATAAAGAGAAAATTGTAAAGGCAGCAAGAGACAAAGTCACATACAAGGGAAGCCAAATAAGGCTCTTAGCTTATTTTTCTAAAGAAACTTTCCACCACAGACGAGAGTGGTATGATATATTTAACGTGCTGAAAGAAAAAAAAAATCTACAACCTAGAATATTCTACCCTGCAAGGTTATCATTCTGAATTGAAAAAGAGATAAGGCTTTTCCAAGACAAGCAAAAATGAAGAGTTCATCACTACTAAACCAAACTTACAAGAAATGTTAAAGGATCTTCTTTAAGTGAAAAATAAAAGGCTACAACAAGAAATAAGAAAATATAGGAAGTGAAAAATCTCCCTGGTAAAGGCAAATATATAGTTAAGGCAGTGGATCAACCACTTAAATAATCTAGTATCAAGGTTAAAAGACAAAAATTGTAAAAATCAACTATAGCTACAATAAACATATAAGGGATAGTCATGAAGATGTAAAATATGACATCAAAAACACAAAGTGTATGTGGGGGGAGGGTAAAAAATGTAGATCTTTTAGAATTGTATTTAAATTTTGAATGACTATCAGTTTAAAACAAGTAGGTGTAGCTACAGGTCGACATATATGAACCCCATGGTAACCCAAATCAAAAACTACAATAGATATACAAAAATTAGAGAGAAAGGAGCCCATACATAACACTAAAGAAAATCATCAAACTGCAAGGGAAGAAACTAAAAGAGAAAGAAAAGAGAGAAGAATTACAGAAACAACCAGAAAGCAAGAAATAAAATATCAGTAAGTACATAGCTATCAATAACCCCTTTAAATGTCAAAGGACTAAATGCTGCAATCAAAAGGCTGACTGGATAAAAAAAAAAACAAGATGCATCTATAAGCTACCTATAAGAGACTCAATTCAGAGCTAAAGACATACGCAACAATCTCATCTACAATCACATCAAAAAGAATAAAATACCTAAGAATAAATTTAACCAAGGAAGTGAAAAACCTATACTCTGAAAACTATAAGACATTGATGAATACATACAAATAAATGGACAGATATACCATGTTCATGGATTGGAAGAATTAATGTTAAAATAACTGTACTACCCAAAGCAATCTACAGATTGAATGCAATCCCTAGCAAAATACTCATGACATTTTTCTCAGAACTAGAACAAAGAATTCTAAAATGTGTATGGAACCACAAAAGACCCCTAGCAGGCAAAGCAATCTTGAGGAAAAAAAGAACTAGAGTTATCACACTCCCTGACTTCTATTTTACAAAGCTACAGTAATCAAAACAGTATGCTACTGACACAAAAACAGGTATAAATCAATGGAACAGAATAGAGAGCTCAGAAATAAATCATACACATATGGTCAATTAATCTATGACAAAGGAGGCAAGAAGGTACACAATGGTGAAACAACAGTCTCTTTAATAAGCCATGTTGGGAAAACTGGACACCTCCACCTAAAAGAATGAAATTTTTGTATATGATGTGTGTATATCACATCATATACAAGAATAAACTCAAAATGGATTAAAGACCTAAATGCAAGACCAGAAACCATAAAACTCCTAGAAGAAAACATATGCAGTACACTCTTTGACTTTGAATTTAGCAATATTTTTAATGGATCTGTCTCCTCAGGCAAGGGTATAAAAAGCAAAAATAAAGAAATGGGACTCATTCAAACAAAATCTTCCACACAATGAAGGAAACCATCAAGAAAACAAAAAGGTAACCAACTGAATGGGAGAAGATATTTGCAAATATGTTTGTTAAGGGGCTAATATCCAAAATATAAAATGAACTCAGATGACTCAATATTAAAAAAACAAACAAGCAAACAAAACAAAAACTTGATTTTATTTTTCCCTTTTTTTAAATTTAATTTTTATTTTAAAATTAAAAAAAAATTTTATTGGGGTATAGCTGTTTTACAATGTTGTGTTAGTTTCTACTGTACAGAGAAGTGGAGTTCCCTGTGCTATACAGCAGGTTCTCATAGTTATCTATGAGAAATAGTTATCTATTTTATACATATTAGTGTACATATGTCAATCCCAATCTCCCAATTCATCCCACCCCCCCCCTTTTCACCCCTTGGTGCCCATACATTTCTTCTCTACTTCTGTGTCTCAATTTCTGCCTTGCAAAAGGTTCATCTGTACCATTTTTCTAGATTCCACATATATGCCTTAATATACGATATTTGTTTTTCTCTTTCTGACTTACTTCACTCTGTATGACAGTCTCTACTGGTCAGAATGGCCATCATCAAAAAATCTACAAATAATAAATGCTGGAGAGGGTGTGAAGAAAAGGGAATCCTCTTGCACTGTTGGTGGGAATGTAAATTGATACAGCCACTGTGGAGAACAGTGTAGAGGTTCCTTAAAGAACTAAAACTGGAATTACCATATGACACAGAGATCCCACTACTGGGTATATACCCAGAAAAACCATAACTCAAAAAGACACATGCACCTCAATGTTCACTGTGGCACCATTTACAATAGCCAGGTCATGGGAGCAACCTAAATGCCCACTGACAGACGAATTGACAAAGAAGATGTGGTACATATATACAATGGAATATTAATGAGCCATAAAAAGGAATGAAATGGGGTCATTTGTAGAGACGTGGATGGACAACTTGATTTTGAAATGGACAGAGAGCCTGAATAGGCATCTTTCAAAAGACACACAGATGGCCAACAGGCACATGAAAAGATGTTCAACATCACTAATCAGGGAAATGAAAATCAAAATCACAATGAGATATCACCTCACACCTGTCAGAATGGCTATAGTCAAAAAGGCAACAAATAGCAAGTGTTTACAAGGATGTGGAGAAAAGGGAACCCTGGCACACTATTGGAGGGAATGTAAATTGTTACAGTCACTATGGGAAACTATATGGAGGTTTCTCAATTAAAAATAGAACTACTTTGATCCAGGATATATATCTGAAGGATATAATACCAGTGTCTTGAAGAGGCAGGTGTATCCCCATGTTCATCGCAGCATTACTCACAATAGCCTAGATATGGAAATGACCTAAGTGTTGAGCAATAGATTAATGTATTAAAAGAAATGTAGTGTGGAATAATATTCAGCCATAAAAAATAAGGAAATCTTGCCATTTGCGACAACATGTAGGAACCTGGAGGACATTATGCTAATTGAAATAAGTCAGACAAGAGAAAGAGAAATACTGTATAATCTCACATGTGAAATGTAAAAAAGCCAAACTCCTCAAAGCAGAGAGTAGACTGGTGGTTGCCAGTGGGCGCTAGGTGAGGAAAATGGCAAGATGTAGGTTAAGGGTACAAATTTTCAGCTATAAAATGAAAAAAATCTGGGGATCTAATGTACTGCATGGTGACTGTAGTTAACAATAATGTTATTATATACTTAAAAGTTGCTAAGATAGTAAATCTTAAATGTTCTCAGTATGTGAAGTGGTGGATGTGTTAACTAACCTTATTGTGGTCATCATTTCACAATACACACTTAGAGCAAATCATTACGTTGTACATCTTAAAGTAAAGAATTATATGTTGACTATATCAATAAACCTGGGGAAAATTTTTTTAAAGATTAAATCATGCTCTTCCTCCCATCTTAAGAATATGTGCATTTACCTTTGTTCAGAGTTTGTTTCTTTCTCCTTAGGGTTCCAATGGATTATGCTGGGTGTTGGGCAATTTTCAGGAGCTCGTTAAATGCTTTCATTAAAAGGAACTGAATGGTTGTAACAGTAACTGAATGAATTGTGAAGGTAGAGAGGATTTTTACCAGAAGACAGTAAAGAGAAGTTAGCCAACAAAAAGAACTAATCTAACTTCCTGTCCCTATGTTAAGTATGGTCTTATAAAATAAGAATTTAAGAAGGTTGCCCAAGGTGTATGTTGATCACAGAGAAATCCCAGTGGGTACAGGAAAGATTTGTAATGTGGTATAGGAATGGGAAGTCAAATCAGGAGAGAGAAGCATCAGGCATTATGTACAGGGGAGTCCTAGAAATGACAGATTACAGAGTGGACTGAAGTGTGACAGGGGCTCCAATGCTGCCTGCATATAATAAGATGGGAAGGACTGCATAGAGCAGTGACATGTTTTCCATCTCCTTGGAACAAGTATTTCAAGAAATTTAATGATGGGACTTCCCTGGTGGCGCAGTGATTAGGAATGCGCCTGCCAATGCAGGGGACACGGGTTCGAGCCCTGGTCCAGCAAGATCCCACATGCTGTGGAGCAACTAAGCCCATGCGCTACAACTACTGAGCCTGTGCTTTAGAGCCTGCGAGCCACAACTACTGAAGCCCACGCACCTAGAGCCTGTACTCTGCAACGAGAACCCACCGCAATGAGAAGCCCACACACCGCAACAAAAAGTAGCCACCACTCGACACAACTAGAGAAACCCCGCACGCAGCAACAAAGACCCAATGCAGCCAAAAATAGATAAATAAATTTAAAACAAAAAGAATTCGCCTGCCAATGCAGGAGACACAGTTTCGAGCCCTGGTCCAGGGAGATCCCACATGCCGCAGAGCAACTAAGCCCGTGCGCCACAACTACTGAAGCCCGTGCACCTAGAGCCCATTCTACACAAGTGAAGCCACTGCAATGAGAAGCCCGCGCACCACAATGAAGAGTAGCCCCTGCTCACCACAACTAGAGAAAGCCCGCATGCAGCAACCAAGACCCAACACAGCCAAAAATAATAAATAAATAAATTTTTTAAGAAAAAGAAATTTAATGCTAACATATAAAATACAGAATGCCTCCTACCTTGCAACCTTGTGTGCAGCATTCCCCCGAACCACATATTTTATTTTTTTTCTTTGTACATGTTCTAGGATCACAGCAGTCTGGATGTGTACAATTCTGGAAACAAATGCTTTGTTACTCAGTCATGCATGATTAGGTACAATCAAATAAAACTGCAATACAGAATTTATTTACGAAGTATGAGCATTTCTTAAAAACCAGTTTCAGTAATCCCACTCTTTACATGAGACTTATTGAAATCAACATCTCAGCCAGTAGGTTGTGAAAGAAATGTGTCATTTCACTACATTCCATATAATCTGAACAATATTAACATACTACCGTGGAGCCAAAAACTTAGAGGAAATAGTTACTAGATTTCTTGTTAGCTACCATTCTCTTCTAAATTTTTCCTATATTCTTGCTTTCATAATAAATCTATTTACACACTGCCAGCATGCAGACTCTCAGCTTCTGTCTGAAATGGCAAACCCCCAAACTTCTGTCCCCAGAAAAGTGGTCCCAGAAGCCAGTCTGGTCTGTCCAGATTTCACTGGGATGCTGGCCCCATATGTACTTGTATTTTACAAGATTCAGTGCCTTCAATCAACCTTTCCAGTCTTCAGTAGCGAGTTTGTTTTAAACTCTGTAATTTACCAATATTAGAAGTTTGAGTTTCCTGGTGTTGTGTTTTTTCTTACTGGTATTTTTTTGTTTATTTGGTTTTGGTTTTGGCTTTTTTGAGGTACGCGGGCCTCTCACTGTTGTGGCCTCTCCCGTTGCGGAGCACAGGCTCCGGACGCGCAGGCCCAGCGACCATGGCTCACGGGCCCAGCCGCTCTGCGGCATGCGGGATCCTCCCGGATCGGGGCACGAACCCGTGTCCCCTGCATCGGAAGGCGGACTCTCAACCACTGCGTCACCAGGGAAGCCCCTTACTGGTATTTTTAATTGGTATTTTCAATGAACAGCTTCACCACAGGCAGCAATATTATACTTTAAAAAGGCTATTTATTTCATCTATTGACTCGTGTATTCATGTACTCAAAGTTTAAATATTCCTTTGTTAGCTTTTTTTCTTACTGTATCTCTTAATCAAATGTTTGGCTATTCTAGTTTGGGGTTTTTTTTCTTTTTCAATACAACTCCATTTGTAAGGGCAGACTTTCTTAAGAATAGAATGCTCTGGCTATTTCAAAATGGTTCCTTTTCCCCTCCCTCTGCCAGAAGCATTAGACTTCTCTCCAGTATTCACTGTGACAAACAGTTCAAGTTTCTGCAGGTACAACTCATAAAAGTGTGGGGACCTTCCTATGATCGGGTTCTCCTGGAGTTTTAAACTATCAGAGTTCTACACACTGAGACTCCAGAAATTTGTCAATTCCAGTTCAGGTTTTCCTACCCAGATACTGGTTCCCAAAAGGTTTTAGCTTGTGGGTTGCTACTCTATTAAGTTGTGATTCTCTGCATTCACCTGTTGGTTTTTCCAATTTGTGGGGCAGTGGTTTGCTCTGTGACCTCACATCTCTGATGGATGCAAGAAGAGCTATTTCTTTTCCAAGTTGGTTAGCTTTTTACTTGTAAGGACTAAGTGGTGACTTCTAAACTTCTCACATGTCAGACCAGAAACCATAATTCTTGTCTTTCAATGTATTTGAATAAAAGTCCTTTGAATTGGCTTTTGAATCTCCCATTTCAGAGTCTATCATTTTATTTTTCTTAACAGAGCCTAAAAGTTTCTAAATTTGATTAAGTACAACTTACATATTTTTCTTTAAAACCTCATTCTTATTTGCCTTATCTAAGAACGTTCTGCCTATCACAGAGTCAAAAAGACTGTCTCCTGTGTTTTACTCTAAGAGCTTTAGGATTTTCACTTTTCTATTTAGGTCTTTGATCCATTTCAAGTTAGTTTTTGTGTATGGTGAGATGTCAAAGTTTCCTTTTTATGTACGTGGATATCTAGCTCATACAATACCTTTGTTGGAAAGGTTTTCTTCACCCATTTAACTGCCTTAACATCTCTGATTGGCAGAGAATCAACTGATCTTATAAATATTTTATATTTGGATTCTCTATACTGTTTCATTAAGGGATATATTTATGCTTTGGCCAATACCACATTATATTGATTATTTCTGCTTTATAGAAAATTTTGAAATTTACAGAAAATTAGTGTATGTGCTCCACCTTTGTTCTTTTTAATTGCTTTGTCTATTCTAGGTCCTTTGCATTTCCATATATATTATAGTATCAGCTTGTCAATTTCCACAGAACGATGGTGGGGTTGGGATTGGGATTGTGTGGAGTGTTGATGTAGAGCTGACATCTTGGCAATATTGTGTCTTCCAATCCATGAAAGTGGGATATGTCTCCCTCTCGATCTTCTTTCATTTCTCTGAGCAATGTGAGTTTTCATTGTACAGGTCTTGCACGTATTCTGTTAAATTTATCTCTATGTCATGTTTTTGAAACAATGTATATGGAATTGTACATTTTAGTCCATTTTACATTTGTTCATTGTTTATACATAGAACTCCATGGAATTTGGGTTCACATGCATTCATTAATTAACTTTAGCAGACTTTGGGGGTAGATTGTTTAGGATTCTCCAATCACGTGGCCAAGTTGAATTTGATTAAAGACAGTTTTAATCTTCCTTTCCGCTCATTGTGTGTTTCTTTTTCGTGCCTTACTGCAGTTTCATTGTGTGTTTCTTTGTGTTTCTTTATCTTCCCTTACTGCAATGGCAGGAGCATCCACTGCAGTGTGGAAGCGAAACATAACCTGTCCATACAAAACTTTTTTTCCGTATAATAGCAAACGATGCATTTTGCTATATAGTCTATAGTCTTTAGATGTTCTTGTCTTTTTGTTACTGCTTGTTGTTAAAGGCATATGTCTTCAACTCCTTATACACTCTTTGTGGTCACTGATTATAAGATTAGAGCTGATGCATGCACTGAAGAATTTAGGAAGACAATATTTGAAGACAAATATTAACTAAAGGATGTTTGCTCCCCACCTCAAAAAATGGCAAAATTAGGAAACTTAAAGGCTTCCATTTCCCCAAAGAAGGTACTTTTCAAAATTTTTCTTCTAAAAGACAAGATCTTCTTTTCCACCTCATACTCACATATACGGGAAATAATATTTTTGAAAAAATTTCCACTAACCTGTAAAGTGCCACAATCACATTCTTCACCCGATTCCAACTTTCCATTGCCACACATCTTCTTCTGTTTGTAAACTGGCCCAACAGGAAGGATTTTACGAAGACATTCAAGGCCAGAATGTGCAGCAAAATATTTAAAGTCATCCAAGCTACAAGTGCTAAAATCCTTTATACCCCCAGATAGCCTAAAATATATAAAAAAAAAGGGTATGACAAAAATTATTGCTGTATAACTCTACATTTCTCCTAATGTATGATGTTTTGAAGAGAGATTTAAAGAGCATTATTCTCACGGATAACAATAAGCACACTTTTAAAAATATAAAAGTATCTTAAAAATACTAACATTTTTAACACACTTTTTAAATTTCACCAAGAAAATTCTTGTAATGAAAAAAAAATTCCAAAATCTTTTGCCATTCATCCTGTTTTAAAGAAGACCAATTATTTACCTATCCTAAAATCTTTACTAATTGTTTAAACATAGGAACTGTGTTACTCTTTATTTACCTTCTTAGTGCTAAACAACTGAATTTAAAATTTTTGGCCTCAGTATTTAATATACTTTTTATTTATTTAATATCATTTTTGTATTTTTTCTGTAAATATCAATATGAACATGTCTGTATTATCTTTAAAAGTATATTTTAGATCTTTTGCTCTCTGTAATCAGGCATTTTTCAAACAAGAATCTGTTGTTTGATTTATACCATGGGAGGGACAAGAGGAATACCTGTCCTGATGGAGTGAGAAAGTTGTTAGTAGTCTACTAATATATCAGCATCCAACTAAAACCCTAGAAAGAATACAATTTAAGAGTAAAGACTACGCCCTAGACCAGTAGCTGACAAACTTATCTGTGAAGGGCCACACAGTACATATTATAGGCTTATATGCCATATGCTCTGTTGCAGCTACTCAACTCTGCCACTGTAGTGCAAAAGCAGCCATGAAGAACACATAAAACAGTAAGCCTATAAAATGAATTTACAAAACAGGCAGGCAGCCAAATTTAGCCTATAGATCATTGTTGGCTGACCTCTGCCCTATACTAAAATCTACTCTGTATCAGTCCTAACAGTTAGAGTCTAAACTCAAGCCCTGACAACATCCCCAGAGGAAACCAAGTTTGGAAGTTCAGGCCTGCCATTTTAGAGGGGTTTGGAAATGCCTTGAGTTTTCTATAGACTCATGTTAACGAAGTATAAAACCGAGCACATAAAATTTAAAATGATTACCCAATAATTGAATTGCCTGGTAGAAAAAGAATCAATGCTTTTCAGAGGAAGGTAATGAGAATCTAGGCTTTCTATTGTACTATCAAACAATATCCAATATGCTACTACTACTAATAATCATACAAAGAAATAAGAAAATGTAAACCATAGTCAATAAAAAAGCAGTCAATAGTAAGCAACACTGAGATGGCCCAGGCGTTAGATTTGGCACACAAATACTAGAAAGGAACCATTATAAATATATTCAATTAATTAAAGAAAAATTTTAAATAATTCAGAGAAATTACAGCCTTACAGAGTGAACACTCAAAAGAGAGTGCATATCATCCAATTTACCTAATGTTCTAGGGCCAGTAAAACTAATTGTAGTGATAGAAATCAGATCAGCTGTTGACTGGCGTAGGGTGGAAGGTAAAAAGGACAGCCAAGGATCACAAAAGAACTTTCTGTGGAAATGGAAATGTTGCATAGCCTGATTGACACTGGTTCAGTAATTTGTATATATTTATCAAGAGTCATAAACTTGTACACTTAAAGTTTAAAGTGTACGAATTTTATTGTAGACAAATCGTACCTCAAAAGTTGATTTTTTATAGTGTATACAAATATAACACTCAAAAAGATGATGAAAGAATATTCCTTTGAGAAACAATTTCACACAGAGAAGAAGTAATTTAGTTATTATCTACTTTGTGCCTTCGCAGATATGTGGGATAACACAGATTCAGTCATCACAGGACAAAATGAAATAATAAGAATACTGATCTAAACGGTCATTATTGGAAACATTTACCGAGCACTCTTCTAGGCAACTGGTGTGTAGTGAAACGTAGACCAAGTGCCTGCTAGGGGCAAAAAGTATGAACATCAGGAAACAGGCATATGAAATAAGTCAGATAGTTATTGGAATGATGAAGAAAAATAAAACAACACAATTTACAGGGAATAAAAGACACTGTTTTAGAAGAGAAGACATTTATTAAAAAAAAAAACTATAGCTAAGATTGGGAACAAGGCAAGGGTACCCACTCTCACCAGGTCGATTCACATTGGGCTGAATTTATTTCAAGTGCAATTAAGCAAGAAAAAGGAATTACACACAAGTAGATGGAGAGGAAAACATAAAACTGTTCTTATTCATGGACAACAAGATATTGTTTATAGAAAATCTTAAGTAATCAACAAATAAAATCTCCTGCAATTTCTGTTGAGTTTAGGAAGTTTGTGGCACACAAAGTCAATATACAAAAATTATATTTCTATGTACTAGCAATGAGCACTCTGAAAATGAAATTAAGAAAACAGTTCTTTTCAAAATAGCAAAAAAAGAATAAAATGTTTAAGAATAAATATAACAAAACAAGTACAAGACCTCTAAACTGTAAAATACCATACATTGCTGGGGAAAATTAAAGACCTAAGTAAATGAAGACATATACCAGATTCAAGAATTAGAAGACTCAGTATTGTTAAGATGGTTACTCTCCCAAAGTTGACTATTTATAATACCCAAGATATGGAAGCAACCCAAATGCCCATCCACAGATGAATGGATAAAAAAGATATTGTATGGAATATTACTCAGCCATAAAAATGAATGAAATCTTCCATTTGCAGCAACAAGGATGGATCTAGAGACTATCATTCTAAGTGAAGTAAGTCAAACAGAGAAAGACAAATACTGTATGGTATTTGTCATACTAAGTGAAGTAAGTCAAATAGAGAAAGACAAATACCGTATGGTATCGCTTATATGTGGTAACTAAAAAATAATACAAAAGAACACATATGCAAAACAGGAGTAGACTCACAGATATAGAAAACAAACAAGGGGTTACCAAAGGGGAGAGGGAGGAGGGGAGGAGCAAGTTAAGAGTAGGGCATTAAGAGATATAAACTAGTATGTATAAAACAGATAAGCAACAAGGATACAGTATATATATAGCACAGGGAATTATAGCCATTATCTTGTAATAACTTATAATGGAATATAATCTGTAAATATACTGAATCACTATGCTGTATACCTGGAACTACCATAATGTTGTAAATAAACTATACTTCAATTTTTAAAACTCTCAACAGTTTTCATAAAAATTGGAAATTTGATAATAAAATATATATGAAACTACAAAGGACCTAGAATAACCAAAACAATTTGGGAAAAGATGAAAAAACTTGGGGATTTGTACTACCTGATTTCAAAATTGTTTTTAAAGTATTATCAATGATACTAAAATTTTTAAAAAGCCTTTTTCTTCAGTAGTCTCTCTCTCAGTGGGGCATAGTTTTACTTATTTGTGACTTGATGTCTTTCTAAATTAAAAAAAGATACATTTTTAACTTGAAATGTACTGTTCATCCTTATATTGTATAATGCCAGTATCAAGGCATTTAACTTTAAATAGAATCACTAAAATCACACAATTCACATGGCTTGTCCCCAGAGGGTACCTTCAATCTAGCCAGCAGAGAAAAATACAAGCCAGACTCTGGAAGGTAGGAAGGAGGAAGAGAATGTCCCCAGGCATGGAGAGGCCTGAGGGAGTGCTGGGTCTATTTTGGTGTGTGTTCCATCTGCACTTGAAAAGAATGCGCAGCCTAGTGTAGGATATAGTGTTCTATAATTATCAATTAATTCAGTTTGGTTATAGAAATATAAAGTCCCTAACCAAAAAAAAATTTTTAAGTATACTGTGTGTTTAATAAAGAAAATGATCTTACACAGCTTTTGGTGACATTGTGCAAACATCTCCTGAACAATGGCAGATCTCAGTATTATCATAACTCATTCCCATGTTAAGGCCAAGCAACTGCACAATACTGAGAGCATATGACTCCAAGGATAAACCCTCTGAATACTAAATATAAGGAAAATAAAAGAAAAATAGTTAGCTAAGAATCTTATTCAATTATAAAAAGTTACTTACTATAATCAAAAATTCATATATAAAACTCATTTTTTCTAAACATCTTTATTGGAGTATAATTGCTTTACAATGGTGTGTTAGTTTCTACTTTATAACAAAGTGAATCAGTTATACATATACATATGTTCCCATATCTCTTCCCTCTTGCATCTCCCTCCCTCCCACCCTCCCTATCCCACCCCTCTAGGTGGTCACAAAGCACCGAGCTGATCTCCCTGTGCTATGTGGCTGCTTCCCACAGGAATAAAGACACAGACCTACTAGAGAATGGACTTGTGGATATGGGGAGGGGGAAGGGTAAGCTGTGACAAAGTGAGAGAGTGGCATGGACATATATACACTACCAAGCATAAAACTCATTTTTAAAATTCATTAATGCATCCAAGATACTTAACGTAGACACAATTGTACTAGTTATGTAAGTATTATTAAACACGGATGGATGAGTAACACTACAGTTTAATTTCAAGATACTATTACATAATGACAATACCAGCTATCTTAGCAAATCTAATAGAGTTTAAACACCACACTATATCACTTCTTTGAATTATTTTAAACAAGATGCTTTTAATCTTTTTTTTTCATAATCAGTCCTACATTCTCTTTGTAGTATACAGTCTCTAAAATGGGTCCCAATGATCCCTGCCTCCTGGTATTTATGATCCTGTGTATCCCCACTCCATTGAGTGTAGGCTGGACTTACTGACTTGCTTCTAATTAACTGAATATAGCAGAAGTGATGGGTCATCATTTCCAAGATAAGTTATTTAAAGACTGACTTCTTGGAATCTATGTCTCTCTCTCTCTCATTCGCTCTGGGGGAAGGTAGCTACTTTGTCATGAAGTAGGCCTGTGGAGAGGTCCTCGTGAGTGAGCTTGGAAACTTTTTCTGAGGTCTTCCAATAGTCACATGACTGAGCTTGGAAGCAAATCCCCTCTGTGTTGAACCTTGAGATAATTACAGCCCTAGCTGACATCTTGTTTTCACCCACTAAGCTGCTCTTAGATTCCTGACCCACAGAACTGTATTGTTTTCATGTGCTAAGGTTTGGTACAATCAGTTACACAGCAATAGATAACTAATACACCCTCAGTAGGTATTGTTGTTTTCCTTTGAAACATTTCTATTATCTGCACAGAAGTTTATAGCACCTTTATTCATAACTGCCAAAACTTGCAAGCATCCATGATGTCCTTCAGCAAGTGAACGGATAAACTGTGGCATGTTTCAGGCAATAGAATTTTATTCAGCACTAAAAAGAAATGAGCTACAAGGTCATGAAAAGACACGGAGGAAATTTAAATGCATGTTACTAAGCGAGAGAAGCCAACCTGCAGAGACTATATACTATATGACTCCAACTATATGACATTCTGGAAGAAAAGTTATGGAGACAAAAGATCCACGGCTGCAGGTGGGGAGGGGAGAAATTAATTGGCAGAGAGCACAGAGGATTTTTAAGGCAGTGAAAATACTGGGTATGATACCATAATGATGGACACATATCATTATTTGACCAAATCCGTAGAAAGTACAACACCAAGATTGAACCCTAAGGCAAATTATGAACTTTGGGTGATTTTTAATGGGTCAATGTACGTTTATCAATTGCAGTAAGTATAACCCTCTGGTGAGTGATGGTGATAACGAAGAAGGTTATGCAAGTGTAGGGGCAAGGGATACATTGATAATCTATACACCTTCTTCTCAATGGTGCTGTGAACCTAAAACTGCTCTAAAAATAGTATTTTTAAAAAAGTTGTTGGTACTTGATGGACCAAGAGCAAGATGGCATTGTGAGGGAGTGGCAAGTAAAGCACAGTTCAGAGGAGAAGATTAACTGACCCATGAAGATGTTTCTAAGTTTCCATTCCACATATTGCCCTGGGTCGCTTGTCCTTCAACCACAGCCACTGAGAGGTAGAAAACAACAATTAGCTGACGCATCAGGCACTTCAGTCCACCTTCACAGGGTAGAGAGTAATTTTGTTTACTGGAAGACTGCTTGAACTCAAGCAATCCCTCCTTCCTGCACCCCAGCTTTTGATCAAAAGCAGTTCTTAGGACCAAACAGAAGCCCTTGCCAGGACACACTTTATTCCCTTCATAGTTACAGACAATACTAATAGTAACCAAGGAACACATTTCGTTTCTCAGAAGACACAATGCCACTCTATTGGAAAAGGCATTCAATATAACTTTCATTGTCCCCAACAGGTCCCAGATAGCTGGTTCAATTGAGAGACATAACGGTTTCCTTAAATAATTCCTTTTCAAATCCAATAAATGGACCCCTAAATGGGTGTCTATATTGGCCAAGCTATTAATGTCTCTTAATTCAAGGACCCTTGTCTGACACACACTTCACACAAACTTTAAAACATTTTTCCCTTTTCCTTCCGTATATTTAAAGGGGCTTATGTCTGGCCTCCATGTATATAAAGACTCACTGTATATGAGTCCCTTTAATTATGTCTCCCCTACTGTTGTAAATATTTTATCTTGCCCCATCCCATAAGGGTTGGAGACCAGATCCAGGTACATACCATCCTGAGGTCTATTAACCATAGATTTCCTCCTGGTCCAGGCAGCTGCTAATTTGACATGAGACCCATTTGAGCCTAAACTTCCACCACCACAAAAACAAACAAATGAAAAACAAAAACAAAAGCCTCTCAAGTGCAGCTGTACAACATTCTGTTGACTGTTCATCTCATTACCATTGGTCTGAGTGTTTTTATTGGTTTGCAATCTGGAGGCCCAAATCCTCTAAGTAAGCCATTATTTCAGCCAGACGTGGCAAATGCTGAGGCCCACATGCCACTGAGTTTGGATAATACAAACCTTACAACCAAAAGACTTCGCCAGCTTGCCTGTCAACAACCAAACCAGCAACTGAGGCAAAAGGCCCATACTGACTGGCCAAATTAGGGTGCCTGCCTCCAGCATAATTATGGAGCCCTAAACACAGGTATAAGTATTTTAAATGGCAAACAACCTGACCTCCTATTAACCACATACACCAAAATCAGGTCATAAAATCTAAAACCTATTTATAACAGAACTCTTCTCATCACCTAATAGGGCAAGACCCTAGACTGTTGGACACTTTTAGATCCAGCCACAGCTAACTTGGGCTGTGCCAGTCAGGCTCTGCACAGATGTCAATATCACTTCTGCTCGCTGTGCACCCACAAGCCCCTTGAGTTAACAGATATTTATAAATCGAAGTCACAGGCCCAACATTGCCTTCAAATTACACAAGTACTTCAGCACCATTTTAATACCACAGAGCCACAAAAATAAAACCTGCATTCATTCAAGTGGGTATCAGCTGAAAAAGGATATCCTAGCACTACACCCCAAACAACATTGCCCTGGCCCAGGAACTCACTGCTAGAGACGTTATTACCTCAGATGACATCACTCCAGCTTAAGACCTGCCTGTTGGAGATGACTCTGCATCCTGCACGGAGACAACTTCCCCTCAGACACTAAAACTTCCACCCCAGGCAGGCTCACGGACTGCCTCTCCCAAGGCACAAATTGCACACAAGAAATGTACTGGTTTTCTTACTTCGATATTAGGGACTCTATTGTGTTTCCTGAGCAGCTGTCTGTGTAGCCCATGACAAGGGTATACTTTTTTGTCCTCTATCAAACCATATATCCCTACACTCCATGTCTATCTGTGCCATTCTAAACACTGGTGGAGACTATTGCTTTCCCTAGGAGTCGCCTGCCTTGTATCATGAACCCCTGGACCCTAGGGAGAGGACCACTCACTCCCCAGTCCCTTCTCCTACTACTCCCACCCTGCATCTCTGACCATGACTACAACCACCTCTTCCCTTTGGGTGCATACAAATACCATCAATCTTTATACATACTTTACCAAACTAATCAGCTGATACTCTCCAACAACATAAACTGCCTGACTTGCCACTTTTACCCAAAAATACACCAGGATATTATTGTCAAGAAACACACATACAGAATTTTTAACACAATTTACAACTGCACAAAGATGCTCTTAGAGACTCCAGAAATTTCAGATCTATTTCCTTGGCTAATGTTATACAAATGGGAAATTTAGTCATGAGCTGGTCTACAAGAATTCCTTGTACGTCCACTTCTGTTTCTCCTTTTTACTCTCATAATAAAATGTTCTCTATGCTGTTTAGCCAAACTTATGCTCTACTCTCTAAAAGTGTCTTATTATGCCAAAGGTTTGATCATATTTCAAACCACAACAGGACTAACTTTATTAACATCACATTTTCTGTATTCCGAAGCTTTCATATCTAGGGCCTTACCAACCTAGAGGACTGCCCTTCTTAGGGTTATCCAATTACTTCAGATAGTAGACAACTCACCTTTCATATGCAAACCAATCAATCCAGAGCCCATATACCCTACCACCTGATAGTCTGATAAAGTCTGCTTTATCAGACTCACATACACCAGGCCACTATCCACCTGCCAAAATCACACCAGGGCTAGGTACCAGACAACTAAGGACAGCCTCTATGCATCGTGGACTGCTGAAACTAGCCAACCCTAGACCTGCTTACCCTGTCTCTCCTGTTTCTTCCCAAAGAAACCACAATAGAGGCTCTTGCCCACATTTGCCCCCTATCTCCTATGCTTCCTGACCAAACCTGGTGCTTCCTTATGTGGCCTCCGCATGGCATGGCATATTTCTTATTTCTAGGGAACTGTAAGTATGATAAATTTCTTCCTGAATGACAGTCATTTTCATGTCTGCATGTATTTCCATACCTGATGAAAACATATCCCAGGTAACCTTAAAAAAATCTTTCAATCTAGATTAGTTTCTCCTACTTTAGTTAAGTTAGTTTACTCTAGTCAATTCAAACTAGATTACAACAAAATTAGTTGTAAATGTATACTGTAAACTCTAGGG